ATCTACCAAGTGGACTAAGACTGCACTATTTATGCCTTTGGTTACTCCTTTACTCAACCATACAGGTACATGTTCACGTGCGCGCATGGATAAAGCCCTCTGAGTACGGCCAATATAACTAGCTCCACTTGAGCAGTTGAATTCGTAGATGCACATTGATGAGGCCATCTTTGGTAATTTATCCTTTACTTGCTGTGTTGAGAAGTTTAGTACCAATTTAGCCCCATTCGTTGGTTTATTTTCATATTGCCTCACACACCCTGATTACACTCACTCTTGTAACCTGTATTTTCTGTTAACTATATTTATATATATACACACATCATTAAATTAAATTATTTCATCTCATTCTGTCCCATGTTGTTATTGACCATGCATATTAAAAAACTATATGACTATATGACTATTGTTTCATCCCATCTTATACTTGTTCCACAGTACACTTTCTGATATGATTCTAATTCGCCTTTACTGGCTATTGTATGCTTACATTAATGAATTTATAATTGTAGAGCCTGAAGAAGAATTTATTGAAAACAATTGTTCCCTCTAAATATTTTGTTCTGAATTTTCTTTTCAATAATTTCTCCTCTTCAGGTTCTTACAATTATAAAATATAATAACATTTGTTGTCGTTACAATAAAGGCCACTTATGCGGTGGACACATTTTTAACGTAGAATAACAGATTAGTAGTTACAGGGTGTCAAAATAAATAGTCATATTTGTGAGTGACAAACGTGCTGGTAGGCTGAAATCAATTACAAAATATTTCGGCAAAATGGGAGACAATGATGGTGATTAATCATAATACTGATATTTTACTTTCAGTAATCTGAAACAACTACGTGTTAAAGGTATAACGAATGTTCAGTTCCTATTTAATAATGAAATATACAGACAGGTTGATGGAGTAGCCATGGAATCCTCACTGGGACCTATTTTCGCGAATATATTTCTAGCAAAACTAGAAAATAGTCCGTTGAAAGAGGAAATAGCGAAAATGGAAATGTATTGTCGTTAAATGGATGACACTTTTGTAGCGTACGATGAAGGGTTAAATAGTGATTTGATTTTGAACAACTTCAATAATGCTCACCCAGCGGTTCATTTCACCTACGAAGGAGAATACAACGACTCTCTACACTTCCTCGACGTCCTACTAACGAAAAGAGAGGATGGTTCCATCAAAAGAACCATATTTAGAAAGCCAGAGACCACACTTCCTTAGCTTCGTACCGATGAAATACAAACGTAATCTAATCAGGTGCTTAGCATTGAGAGCTAGGTCTATTTGTTCCGAAGACTGCGTAGAGAAAGAACTCCAGGTCATCCGAGACATTCTAAGCGAGAACGAAATCCAGAGAAGTTCATTAAAGCCAATATAGGTTACAATAGTTGTAAACATGAACTGGCAACGGTGGAGAAAAAGCCTCTGTTTTTACGTCTCCAGTTCAAGGGAGATACTCCTGCGGAGATTCTATCCCAACGTTTAACCAGGGCGATCAAGAAAACTTTCTACTCTGCACGTCTGTGTCTATCCTTCACTAGCCGTCCAATGTTCACCCATCAACTCAAAGATGTCTTACCTAACTTTAGCTCTTCTTCATGCATATACCATTTTAACTGTTCCTGTGGTTCAAGTTATATAGGGCGCACGATTAGGCAGGTTCGTCTACGGGCTCGAGAACACTTACCAGCTTGGTTCAGCAGAGGGGGTGGGGAAATTAAATGCATAAAAAGCTCGATCGTGTCACACTTGGTCGATACTGGACATCGCATCGACATCAACACAGCTTTCAGAGTTATACACCGAATTCCAAAGTCGATATCACGTACAGCTCGCTTACGTCTCCTACACATAGCTGAAGCTGTTGCAATAAGATCGACTAATCCGGAACTTTGTATCCAAAAAGAACACGTCCAGACACTATTCATACAGTGGTTAAACTTGGACTGATGATTCTTCTTCTCACCAAGAGTGCTCCTTCCCCTTAATCCTCTTGGTGTTTTCTTTTTTTTTACTTTGCTTATTATTATAAATATTATTATTACAGTCATTATTAATATTATTATTATTCGTCATAATTTATGCCCTTTATGCGAACATTCCCTCAATACTATCGAATTTTCATTCATTTATATGGACTTATTATTAGTGATATTATCTGTTTTCTCAATATATGCCTCCACCTGTTTCATTTCACATATTCATTATTTCGCTATGAGCCACCTCTCATTGCAGTCTTACTATCTCCTGTTTAAGACAAACCACTCTGTACTAGCCACTCCACTCACCTGACACCTTTTATAACCTTGAACTGATTTGTCAATTTTCCTACCCCACACTCTACAATTCTATTATGATTAATCACCATCATTGTCTCACGTTTTACAATATTTTCTAATCGATTTCAGTCCAGAGCACGTTTGTACTTTCATAATTTTACACACTGATAAAATCCAACAATCTATACTTGATTTTGTTTTCTTTACGAATTCACAAACTTGACAACAAAAAACGACCCCATACTGACGAATGATGATCAAGTTAGTAAACTTTATTTTGATATAATAACAGACGTACTATTACCTCTGTTATTTGATTTTAGTGATCTTCATTGTTATTTTGACTTTAAATATGTCCTTTTAAGTTGAACTAAGTCTATATTTTTTTTCTCACCCCTTAACTCTTTGTTATATATAAGCTGAGTGGATTTTGTAAATCCTGGTTTAATAATACTTTGATAAAGCAGCTATTAGCAGCAGCATTTAAGATAGCGAAACGTCAGTAAAAACAGCAATATCGTTTTGTTTTTCATTCATCGGGAAATAGAAAAGAAACCTTTGTTATAAAAACAAAACTAACTGAGAATCAAATAGAGTATTTCTAGCAGGGTGGGACCAAAAACTCTGTCCAAAACAATCACACACCTAACAAGTCCCCAAGACACTCCAAGGCAAGAATGACCTTGATTCATTCAAACCAAAATAAAATTGTAAAACAACACATTATTAGTGTCATCATACAGCTATAATGAGAAGAATTACAATTAGAGATTAAACAGGCTCAAGGACAAATAATAAATTTTAAATCAACATGCAACATTCAAATGTCAGAACAATGATACACAGTCTATGAACAAAATCCGGACAGTAATTACACATTTTATTGAAATACGCAAATAAGTACAAATATTGTGATTGCATTGCTATGGAGGGATTTTCCAAAAAATTATTGCGTTACACTGCCGAAAAGGACTACCCAATTCCTTCAACGGTCTAACAACAGCAACAATTCAGATTACACCATGATGGCGAGCCACCTAGACTGGTGGTAACTGACAGAATTCAGTCTACATCAAACAAAAGGACTAAATGCTCGAGATTAGTTACCATTTTGTATCTAATCGAAGATATTGTCTAGAAGACCATTGAAAGCCTGTCAACGAAATCATTGAGGTCAGAGAACACAACCACATCAGAAAGTTTCTCTCTGCCTTCTTCTGTTTGAATAGCTTAATTCTTAACCTTTAATCGATTTCATTTTAGTTATAGTTGCCTGAAAAACAACATCGGATACCGTAAAATGAAGGAGATTAGAGAGACGTTTCATTCTAATTCGTAATAATTGTAGCTTTGCTAATCACTGATAATCCTTAAGAAGCCTTTACTTCCGAATCACAAAGTTGTGAGATGTGCAGTCAAACATCTAGTTAATTTATGACTCAGGATTAATATGAATTCATTAGACGATGTCTAACATCTGAGCATTTAATTACTGTTTACATCAAATCAAGTAAAATCACTGTATTGCATCCATCCTCTTGAATATATATTACTACAGTAGGGAAGACTTCATTTCACTTTGAAGGGCACTAAAACCTATCAGTAGGGCAAGGGAGGATACCTCTAATTATTACTATTATTATTCTTTTTGGGTTTCAAGTAGGTGAAAAGCAGGACTTCAATAGCAAATCTTCAGTCCACACTGTTCTTTGAAGTCTTATTCAGATGGCCCCACTACCTGACCATGAGGTTTCATCACCTCGCCCTCCTCATCGTCAAACGATCTCCTCTCTACGTCACCCTTGGGTACACATACAGCTTGCTGTTTTCTATTTGGACTCCAATTTTATGATGACTTGGGGTGAGTTGTCACCTGATGGTTCCCTCAGCGTCTGTTTGGTTCATCTCTATCCTCTTCGACACAATAAATGTTGGTTACTGGCAAAACAATTCGTTAGTACTGTTGCAGACAGTGGACACGTGGACTCAGGCAAGAAATTGGCGAATATCCTATTGTTGGACTTTGTGCGAGTGTTGGGATACTGCCAGGACGCCTGGACTGAGGCAGCCAGACTGTTGTGTTAATGCCTCCCCTCTAGGTAAGTGAAAGAGAGGTTATACAACCTTCACTTATCTAGGAAGCATCCTTCCGACAGCAGGCAGAAAGGACTAAAATGTCAAAGCCAGAATTAAAACCTGCATTTCCAGTAGGTGACTGCAGACATTCATCAACAGCTGCCTTCTCTGGCTGCATACTGAAGATTAGACGGCTGGCCGAACAGAAAGAATCTCTGGCAATCTATCTCTGAACAAATATTCTGAAGGAAATTGAGGTGGTTCAGGCAAACAGACTGTGGAGATGGCTGAGTGACACCACTCCTTAGGAGGATCCTCGACTGGAACTTAAGCTGAAAACAAAGAATCGGGAATGGGTCCTAGTATGTCATGAAGGAAATTCTGTGAAGAAGAGATGAAAGCATACGCATGATCGTTGAACCACCTGAAGAAGACTTCAGAGAACAGTACGAAATGGAGAAGTGTTATTGAATTCCTATGTTTCCCCACTGGGGAAATCAAGTGAATAATAATAATAAGGTATCAATAGATTGTGTGTCAATTTTTTAAAATCCATTTTCTATTCTCGGTGTTATTGTAGATCCCTTCAGTATTTTCTTGAAATTCACCTCGCTCTTTGCTCTTTGTATTATTTAGCCTTATCCGGACGTGATTCTACTTCGGCTGTACATCCTCTGATTCCTGTTGGTGAAGAGAACACAGATGGAAATAAAGCCTTATCCGCTTCGAAATCAAATCCTACCACAAGTACCACAAGCACTGCAACTCCTGGTAATAACACTTCTAGTACTGCAACAATCTCTGCAACCGGCTTACGTCAAATGCGACTTGGTGTTAGTGTACGTGAATCTAGTTCGTCTCGAACAAGCAAGTTAAATGAGCTATCACAGAATACAATAAAAATGATGAAACCGGGTACAAAATCATCTTCCAGTGAAGATAAAGCCACTTATACATTCTCCTCGTCATCATCTTCGTCAATATCAACATCGACATCATGGGCTGATGCATGTCTTGCTGATTCTATCTACGGTGGGGTTATTGTTAAATGTGTCATTGAAGGTGGAGCAGCGCATAAAGTGAGTATTGGTGTCTTTGTTTATCTTGTCAAGGTTTTATTTTGTAGGGATATGATTTGATTTCAGATTCGACTACAGATTCATCAGTATGCACCCACTGCAAGGGTTCGAACCCAGGATCTTTCAATTACAAGGTCAGGTCGTAGACCATTAGGCCACTGGGTACTAATACAATAGCCAGCTCACAAATTCCAACTTCTACCAATTCACCGTATGTCGAGATTGGCACTAGCCAGTGGTATCTTGGATGAAGAGTATTTGTCCGCATACCCTCCCTACCTGATGTACCCCAGTGGTCAATACTCCCTACTAGAACCAAGGTAACTACCCACCTAAATAGAGCAGGTGTGTGAGGGAAAATACTCGCCATGACAGCGACTAGTGATCACATTATATCATGAATTCAAACTTGACTGATAGGATTCAGTCTGCACCAAAGGTAGGACTAGACACATTACACTAGTTACTGACTAGTGTGCAATCAAAAATATCCAATACAGTCCTACAGGAGATCAGTCGCGAGCCTGAATAGCTCAGTGGTAACGTCTCTGACTGCAGCACTGCACTGGGTGACGCTGGTTCGAGTCCCAGAAGGGATATGAATTCCTTCAAGGTGATTGCAGACACACCTTGCTGACTGACTGGTAAGTGCCAACTAACACAAAACCTGGATGAAAGAAGGCTTCTCCCCGATCACCTCCAACCATCTAATACTGTGAATTCTCAAGAGTTGGAATTCATAGGCTAGCCAATGGGTTGGGTCTCAGTGGCCGAATTAATGATTTACGAGGATGCCCACTGACTGGAATGTCTTGGGTTTGAACCTCTGTGATGAATGCATACTGTGAAGAGTCCCGAATTAGGACAAAACAGCTGTCTGCATTACTGTCTGTCTGTTAGTTTTCTTTTTCAATGACTCTCTAACTGATATCAATCTGCTATCATCTATTCATCTATTCAGATTATTGATTTTTATAGGGATTGGAAATGATTTCAGTTGCAGATTTCTCCACGAACTAACATCAACTAGAAATCATTAAGAACCAAGACAAAATGGACAGTTGTTTCAAGTTAAATTTTACACAAATCAAAATCATGGGCAGTATGCACCCACTGGGATTCGAACCCGGGACCTTCCGGTTACAAGGCAAGCTCGCATACCATTCAGCCACTGGGACCCGATTCAATGGCTCGTGAATTCTAACTTCTACTAATTCGTGATTGAGCGCGATTTAACTAGTGACTTGCTACAGGTTGGAGTTTCCTGAGTTCTAGTGAGAAGTCGTGACCAGTGAGGTCCAATTAGACGTCACGTGTGTGGATGGATGTCCCACCAACGACAATGGTTGGGGTCACGCTAAATCACGAATTAGTAGAAGTTAGAATTCACGAGCCATTGAATCGGGTCCCAGTGGCTGAATGGTATACGAGCTTGCCTTGTAACCGGAAGGTCCCGGGTTCGAATCCCAGTGGGTGTGTACTGCCGATGATTCCCAAGCTAGGATGAAACAGCAGCTGTCCAGTACTCCCTGGTTTTCAATGGTTCTCTAACTGATATCAATCCGTGATCAACACGTAAAACATAACTAATCCTTACAAACCAAACTATAGAAACAAATCAAAATCCCTAAAAGAACCTGTAGCAGTCGATAATTCCCCAAAATTACTAGCCTACAGTATTCATCACTCACCACTGGATGTTGACCTTCACTGTTTGAGTCGATTTGTTTAAATGAAGGCTTGTGGTCAAGTACAGAAGTCATTTGGCAGGCACACCGTCGTGTTATGTTTATTTCTCCACTATCCCTAGATAGTTAAACAATAATCCTCATACTACGATTTTGATCTCATGCTATATTTAGTATTTTGGACGATCGATTTTGTGTTTTTATTTACTCTTGGTCTGCACAGAACAAATACTCTTGGATACAGGATTTCATCATGAGCTGACATTGGTTAGAGAACCATTGGAAAACTACCAGGGAGTGCCGGACATCTGCTTCGTCCTAGTTTGGGACTCTTCAGTAGTGCGCATCCACCACAGGGGTTCGAACCCAGGACCTTCTGGTTACAAGGCTAGTGAGCTCGTAGGCCATTCATCGTCACTGGGACCCGACCCAATGACAAGCCCACGTATTCTAACTTCTGCCAGTTCACGATGTACAGCAACTGCTAGCCAATGTCTTCGGCAAGTATTTATCCTCACACTCGATCTGCTGCACCCTACTGATCACGACTTCCCCCTACCTACCTGAATAGGGCTATTCGCCAGTGACCATCTCATTGATATTCAAGTATTGGTTTGTAGGGATTTGCTTGATTGGTTACAGGATTTCATCGTGAGCGACTAGCCCTGTTCATGAAGTAGTTACCTGGGGTTCTAGTGGGAATTCGTCACCTGTAGAGTGCAGCAGGTCGGGTGTAATGACAAATACTCACCGAAGACATTGCCTAACAGTTGCGCTATATCGTGAATTGGCAGAAGTTAGAATTCGTGGGTTGGTCATTGAATCGGGTCCTAGTGACAGATGAATCGTCTACGAGCTCACTAGCCTTGCAACCAGAAGGTCTTGGGTTCGATTCCTCATGGTGGGTACATACTACTGAAGAGCCCCAACTAAATTAACGAAACAGCTGTCCAGCGCTCTCAGGTTTTCCAATGGTTCTCTAACCAATTTCACCTCATGATGAAATCATGTAATCAATCAAGCAAAGCCCTACAAACCAATACTTGAATATTTAGATAGGTCAAGTAGTCTATGGTAGCTGAAGATTGAAGTCTATTGTTTTTTCTATACACAGTTTAAGCTGTATGTGATTAATGCCACAAAGTGCTTCCATCACCTTCAATAACCAACCTTGAATCAGAGTTATGTGATGAAATAATTGTGAAGCAGTCATTAGTATTGATTTTGTGACCTGACATTAATGAGTGTTTTGCAGTGGATGATGTTGGATTTCTATTTAGATTAATAATTGCATTGGGATTTTCTATATGATTTAGTAGCCATATTGGAACGTGTTCTTTTCGACGACGACATTGCAACATTCTGTTGGTTCTACCTATATAGGTGTCACCGCAGCTGTAGGCGAACTTGTAGATACAGTCTGAAGTAGAGTTCACAGAATTTCGTCCTTTAATCGTAAGTACAGGTGACAAAAATGTTCGAGATGTGAGGGAAAGAGATACGGCGTCGAATGTGCGTTTGATGGCTAACTGAAGTCTTTCAGCTAGCTGTCAACTGTATAATTTGATCACCCTGAATGGTAGGTTAATAAAGATATCTAGCTTTCTTTGGTACAGAAGCTGTCTTTTCGAGATGTGGTCTTTCTTTACTGTGACAAGTGATAAAGCTCTCCGGATAACCATTAGCTAATAAAACTGAATGTATATGTCGAAACTAATCCATCAATGTGTCACTCGTGCATATTTTTCGGGCCCTTGAGAACAAATATTTCACTAGGGGGGAACGTTTATACTGGATAGGAACAAAACTGGTAAAATGAAGATATCGTCCACTCCATGTCTGTTTACTAAAAATAGATTGCTGAATTGTTCCATCATCTCTCCTAGTCATTGTAATATCCAGGAAACCGAGTTTGTCATTCGATTCTAGTTCGGAAGTCACTCGAATATTTGGATGAATATGATTAAATAGGGTAATAAAGTTTTCGATAGATTTACTATTATTACCAATAATAAGAGTATCATCTACATAACGTTTATACAGCATAAATTCTCCAAGCATACCTTGCATTAGTTTCTCTAATTTCGACATAAATATATCTGCTAACGAGGGCCCCAGAGGGCTCCCCATCGCAACACCATCAATTAGTTTGTATACCTTATCTTGAAAGGTGAATCTAATATTTTCTGTACACATTAAGATGATGTCTTTGATGTAAGTTACAGGAATAGGTAAATTTATCCCATTGCTTGTGATGTAATCGCAAATGAAATCAACAGTTTCATGAAAGAGGACATTAGTGAATAAAGATTCTATGTCAATGGAACACATAACCTTTTCCTTAATCCTTAAATCATAACAATTGATTTATGCTCATTTTACTTTGTATGTTTTCTAAATTTCTACTCAAGGATGGTCGACTTCAAATTGGCGATGAATTATTAGAAGTCAATGGAGTGATTCTAGTCAACATCAGTAATCCTCTGAGTTTGTTACGTTCAGTTCTACGCAAATTAACCTCGAGCAACGATAATAATAAAAATAGCAGCAGTAAAACCGCTGGAGATGCTAATCACAGTAATACAATGGTTAAGTCATCCAGTCTAACAGGTCCAGTACTAACAGGCACAAAACCGTCGACATCAATTATGAATGAGAATGATTGCGGCAGTGATCGAATCTCTAGTCAGAGACCACACACTGCAGACTCAACTGGTGAAGAAAAGTGTGAATCAGGTCAACCAAAAATTGTCGATTTATTGATAGCACGATTAACACGACATCGAAGATCTGCTTCCGGACATACTGTAAGTACTATCTGGATGGATTTCTTTCGTTTCTTCTGTCCCCATTGGCCACACTTTTCTCATCTCTTTCTCAGAGGAATAAGACGAATAGTTCAGAGCAAAATATTTACAGCGACTAATTGTGGTTTCAATAAATTCTTCTTAATTCAGGCTCTACAATTATAAATCCATTAATTTAAGCATACAATAGCCAGCCAGCCAGCCAGACAGACAGACAATAAAGGCAAATTAGAATCATATCAGAAATGTGTATTGTGGAACAAGTATAAGTGAGATGGGATGAAACAATAGTCAGTTAGTTTTTGAATATGCATGGTCAATGAGAACATGGGACAAAATGAGATGAAATAATTTAATTTAATGATAGTGATATATATAGATATGGATATAGATATATATAAACAGAAAATATAATAGAATAATAGAATAGAAAAGAATAATAACAGCTTTATTCCAAACGGTATTTGTGGTACAGGTATGGAATTTTCGGCGTGCATTACAATATATTGCATCTAGATACCTCATAAGTTATATAAGATTTTTAAAATCAAGAGATAAATAAATAAAAATAAAAAAACAGCGTAGAGTTTACATTTCAAACAATGCACCACAGGATATGAAATATAAAGTTGATGTGTGATAGAAGATGAGAACAACAGTGTAATAGTAACGAGGAAAGGAAAACAAAAACTAATGAGACTATTTGTTAGAGTGCCGCAGTAAGTTTATCGTGTCATACCTAACGGATTTCTCATCACATAACAGCTGTGCCAGATATGGTATTGTGGAGTTTTTGTATTTGGTAGTCCTAGCATATAGCCTCCTATAGCTGCTTCTAGTTCTACCAGATGAAATGCAAGGAGATAGATGCGTATAGAGAGGATGCTCGGGGTCCGACAATATTGTATTCGCTAGTTTCTTACATGACATAATATGTCTATCTACAATAGTGTTCACCAGTTGGTTTAACGATATCCCACTTGCCCTACTAACGGCTTTTAGTGCCCTTCTCAGCGAAGCAAAGTCTTTCTTAAGTAGTCCAGGAAAGACTAATGGGGAGCAGTAAAGGAGGATGGGTAGAATACAAGAATTTACAAACTGAGAAAGTAAAGACTGCTTTATGCCAGACTGCCTAAATTTCCTAATGTAGAACGTTAAGCGAAACATCTTTCTAGTAACTAGCAAGATGTGGGAAGACCAGGAAAGATCGGTGGAAAAACTCAGCCCAAGGTACTTGACATTAGATGTATTTTCAACCTCTGTGCCGTCAATGATAGTGGGGCCATGTGAGCTAACTAGTTGCTGTAGGTCACATTTACGTCTGAAAGTGAAATTGACTACCTGACATTTAGACGGATTAAGCTTAAGTCCGTTTGAAGAGGACCACTGACTAATTTCCGACAGAAAGTTATTTAATTTGGAACAATCTGACTGAGAGTTGACAGGCATAGAAACCGAGAGGTCATCGGCATACTTAACAAAAGTGGCTACATCAGAATGAGGCAAGTCATGTAAGAAAAACGAAAACAGAAAGGGAGAAAGAACAGCACCTTGAGGAACACCAGCTAAAGTAAGTGAGGTAGTGGAGGACTTTCCATTGTAGACGGTGTACTGCTTCCTATCAGAAAAATAGGAATGCAACCACTTATTTGTCCAGCTTTCAGCCTGTGTTGCAGCAAGCTTACTTAGCAAGAGAGACCTGGGAACAGAGTCAAATGCAGATGTGTAATCAAGGAAGGCACAGCGAACGTATTTAGCTCCTTTATCTAAACTAGAGACTATGCTATGGTGGAGGACAACAGCGGCATCTAACGTACTCCTACTATGTTTATAAGCAAACTGGTTGGGGTCGTTGAAAGGTTTTAAAGAGGGATCAAGATTAAGTAAAATAAGTCTTTCCATAACTTTCAAAAAGGGTGAGGTAATTGCAATGGGTCTAAACTTAACATTAGGTCCACTTGTTGATTTAGGCACTGGAACGATCTTGATATTTTTCCATGATTCAGGTATAATACTTTTGGAAAACGATTCGTTGAAAATGTCAGTTAACGGGGAACACAAGATGTCGGCACACTTCTTAAGGATAACAGCAGGAACACCATCAGGACCAAGAGACTGAAGACACTTGAGGACATCATTCGTGTTAAAGCATGAGAAGCAGTCATTGTTTACACTATTTGAGTTAGGAATCATAACATTACAATTACGTTAAAATACAGGTTTCGAGAGTGAGTGTAATCAGGGTGTGTGAGACAATATGAAAATAAACCCACGAATTGGGCGACCTAGACATAACTTTGCATCGGTGGCATAGTGGTTAGGACTCTCGCCGACCATGTACATGGTCCGAGGTTCGATCCCCTGCCGATGCACACCTGATCTGATCTATGGTCGGCCTGCAAAATTTGGGCTACCGATATCCATGCTGAAAATTCCATACTTGTACAAAAGATACTACGTGGAATCAAGCTGTAATCAAAAAAAGGGTTGAAAATAACAACAATAAGAATGTGTATGTGGAGATATCCAGTCACTAGGATGGGCAAATAAAGGCTGGTGAAATTCAACAATAGCTTGACAGGAGTGAGAACAAACACTCCACTGACCTTAAACGCATGCCAGTCGTTGGTTAACGGTACCTGTTATTATGATAGCTAAAATATCAACGCTATCCACCAACTAAGCAGCAAATTTCACCCAGATCATGTTTCTAAGTACTGTTTGGACAATGTGTTAGTAGCTCATCAGGGTTAGAATCACAGTTATGATTAGGATTAGGTTTAGGTCTACGGTTAGGAGAAGGGTTGTAATGAGTGTTAGGATTAAGGTTAGACTTGTGGTGAGAGCAGGCCGTGAGAAAATATGAGCAAGGCTGATTCAACAACCAATCACAGCAAAGTTAACGTGGCAAAATATGATTCGCAGATAGAGAACTCCACTTGTCGAGGAATCCCGAAACAACCAATCAGAAGCCTGCGTTTGTCTGCCTAACTTCTGATAAACAACCAATCAGATGACTGCGCTTGTCTACTTGCATAAGCTATAATAATGTATGTGAAATATGTATAAATACGTGTTGATTTTCATAATAAAACGATCTGTTGCCTGGCCCTTGTCTTCTGTTGTTACAGACTTAGTGTCAAGTTTACGGTTAGGATTAAGGTTAGGGTTACCATTATGAATAGATTTAGAGTTGATAATATTTATTCTAATTTGTTTTCTTATCCACCTTTCTCTAGTAAGTAGTCGTCAATCCTCTTACTGGGAACCACAGTAATTCAACCTAGGGCTTTCGTGGAAGATTATGCAACTGGATAAAAGAGGCAAACAATTCAGAAAAATAGGTGATCTTTAGTTACCTCGATGAACAGAGATGAACAGAAACTAGTCTGACCTGGCAACTGATACTCTTCATTATAACTGAGACGCATTTTTAAGTCATATCAGAGGAAGATAACCTGTTTAATGTGTTTTCGAGCATTTTCTCGTCAATATACACGTCATTTTTTTGTGCAAATATTCCTCATTTTTATGACTGGTCAGCTGAAGGTCACTCGTGAGTTCGCACTCCTGGGACTGTGTGTGTAACTGCTACCGCAGATATATATATAAATTTGTATACATCGTTGGAGTTAACAATGGGAAGTGTATCTGTCGCCTTTTGATTGCATTAAAGAGCATGTTGTCCGACAGATGGGAACCAGCTTACCTTCAGGACTGGCTCTGGCTATTGATGCATTCAATCTTCTGTTGAATATCCCCGCAATATAATCACCTCTGATTTTCTTAACATGTACCGAAAAGCCCACATTGTCTCCTCAAGTTTAGCAGAACAGTCGCTATTAAATCCTTGAAATGCCTGATTCATATGTTCAGAAAGAAGCGGTTATCAGTCTTTCTTTGCCCATTCTGGGAAATTGACGTCCTTACTCTCTCTCTCTCTCTCTTTCCCTCCTGTTCACATTTAACTCCGTAAACTTTGGTCTCAACCTCTAGTGCTTATTACGTAACTCCTTTACGACTGTATGCTTGCATTGAATTTTTGTTTAAACTTGAACTCTTTGTGTCGACTGACAAGTAGGTTAAAATTGTTTGCGTAGATAAACTCGATGATGATTTCTTTACGCGGGGAGCAGTTGATTAGAATCCGACAAAAGGGACGATCACAGTCCCATCTTATTCTGTACAAACCAACATTGTTCCTGCTTTATTCAAATTCATAAAGGGGGATACATTTAAGGAGTTTATGAAAATATTTATTGGCAAATTATCTATATAATAGAGAAGATTTGTAGCTCAGGTGGGTGATTTGCGATTATTAGTGTTCTCTAAGGAGCTGGTTGGTTTAATTGTGGAGCTTTCGTCGTCCACCCTGCTGGACAACATCCCCCTTCAGAGCAATTTTCCATGAGTGATAGAATTGCATCTCCGGTAACCATCTTTACGCATGTATTGATCATTTTCTATTGACTTGGATTTTAAACTTTCTCGTCACATGTGATTTATTTTTTATTAGTTGGTAGATTTCGTCTATATTAACGTGTTTGTTAATTGCATATTCGTTCGTTTGAGTACCAGGCTTCTAGAAATTCCTTGACCGCATTTTCGGTGTTTCTTCTGTCTAAGATTTCGACATTATCCCAGTTATCAAACTGATGTCCATAATTGTCTATGTGCATTGATACTAAAGAATTTATATCATGTCTTTTCATGGTTGATTTGTGTTCTTGGATTCTGATTCGAAGGGGACACCCACTTTGGCCAATGTAATGCCTGTTTACAGTTTATTTTGTAAATGGTGTTAATTTTGTCTCCTTTTTCTATCGGATCTTTTGGTTTGCATAATATCGAATTAAGCGATTTGACTGACCGGTTTGTGTGCTATATCTATATCAAACGGTTTCAGTATTCTAGCTGTTATTTCAGAGATATTTCTGATGTATGGTAGGATGAATTTCTTTTTGGTCTTTGGTGATGGTTCTTTGTTGGTGTTGTGATTCGACTTTAAACACTTTTTGATGAAATTTTGTGGATAACCATTCTTCTTGAACACCGTTTGTAAGTATTTTTCTTCCATTCTTTTCACCTCTGGAGTACTACAATGTGTTTGAATTCTTCTAAACAATGTCTGCACACAGTTTCTTTTGTGAGCGATTAGATTATTGCTAGTATAGTTGAGTATTTGATCTGTGCATGTGCGTTGATTTTCTATATACTTGTGTTTCCTAAAATTTCCTGTATTGGTTCTCCTGATTAAGACATCTAAAAATGGGATTTTGTTATCTAATTCTTCTTCTCTTGTCGTGAATTTGATGTCTTCAAATATGTTGTTTATTAATTTTTGAGTATATTCTAAATTATTTCTCTTAATCATTACAAATGTATCATCAACGTAACGTACCCAGATTTTTGGTTTAATTATGCGTAGGGTGGACTATTAATTCTAATCTTTGCATGACGGCTTCAGATATTAGTCCTGATATGGGCAATGATCCCATTGGTGTTTCTTTTATCTGTTCATATATTTGAGTATTCAATTGGAAGTATGTTGTTAGGCATAATTTTATGAATTCTAACCAAGTTGAACATCACTGCGTTTTTATGTTTTCATCACTATAGAGTAATTGTTGCATAGTTTCTGTTGCTAGTTTTGGATTAAGTGAAGTATATAATGCTGTGACATCATGCAAGGACACCATTATTTCATTGTCTTCTATTTGAATGTTTTTGATTTTCTCTAAAAATTGGATTGTCTGTCTGTCTGTCTGTTTTCGACATAGAACTTTGCACCGACGTGCACCAACTCAAGTCGCCACACTCCATATAGCACACAAAGCAAGAGAAGAAATATATGATACAAACAGTAAACAGAGGTGTGAGACAAAGGAATAGTAATAACGAAAAACAATATAGTTTCATTGGAAATCATAAGTCACAAAGACCGAATACATCTTCGCCAGCCATTGAGAACGATTTTGAGCCATATCACTAATTGTTTCCAGCCTTCATTGGTGTTTACTGTCCTGAGGACTCCAACCAGTCAGGAAGTCTGCACCTTCCTACGTAGCTGGCTCAAACTAACTGTTGTGGATTTCATTGACTGGTGAAGCAATGTTTTGGTTTGACCACCGCTGGCTAGCTCTTTTCCAGTCTGACTCTATATCAGCTAACATTTCCTGTCGGTTGAGGAAGGTAATGACTAGACATACGTAACACATATCCTAACTATATCAGTTGATGTAAGTTCACAGCCTCGTCGATTGATTTCCCCTCCTACCTATCTAGCACTCGACCGATGCCAAACCTCAATATTGCTCACCTTATTATATCACTTCACACGGGAGATAGAACGCACTCACCTATGATCGAAGACAGCTAGTCTTTTCATGTCTTCCACTCCCAATGGCCAGGTCTCATTCACAACCATAAAGGAGGACGAAGCGGACTGATGAGCAGTACACCCGCCCTTTGATCGACAGCCAGCCGGATGTCACGTCTACACCAGAGACGGTGTAAACTGGCATATGCGAAACTAGCCCTCTCTATTCGTGCTGAGATTTCGTCAGAGATCAACCCGTTGACACTGGCTGATCGTACTTCCTAAATAATAAGTGAAGCGGTCAACGTGCTCTACCACTTCACTTTCTATTTATAAATTGGGAGTCAGTGTAGTCCAGTCCTGTAACATTATTTGAGGTGACGCTCAAATTGGATTGACGAATTGATAGAATGGTCGCATGACTCTGTTAGATAATTTAATTTCCTGAAAAGTTCTATCTATGCATATATGACTGTTTTATATCTTATATTTATATTGCTTTACATTCTACTTATTATTAACAGTTGGCATCAAATTCTGAATATGGTTCAGAGGCATCCACAACCAGTACAGTATTAACTGCAACTCCATACTATTTTCCATCTCATACTACTAACAATACTACTGATAACACTAATCATAATAAACCGAGTTCTGATTCACCTATTGTTAGTCAAGACCAACAAAAACACCCTGCACACTTTCATCATCCCCAGCAACAACAACATCGTAACAAGGCGAACTATACTACTAATACTTCGACTTCATCAGTAGTAACATACCCCAGGGAGAATGACTACTTAAATAAGAACAGTGCTAATATCCGTAAAGATACTACTACTACTACTACTACTAGCAGTAATAATGGAACAACTCGAATCAAGGCTGAAATACACTCAGTTAAAGTAGAACACGAAGAGGATTTCGAGGATGCTGATAATAATAACAATGACAATGATGAGATTATAATAACTACGAGCAGTACTGGGGGAGAAAATGAATATACCGTGAATGTTACGAATAATTCATTCAAGAAACAATAATAATAATAAAAAGAATATTTTATTTTATATATTGCATCAATTTTACATGGTGAGTTAAGTGAAATTAAAAGAATATTTCATTGGAATTTATATTTTGGGGTGTGAATCGATGTCGGTGGTGTTCCCTTGGGTTCGGAGTGAAACAACACATACGGGCTTCAATAGCTCATCTTTACTTTGGTAAAATTCTCTGAACTACTCATTTACCAGGCCCCATGATTTCAAATAGTCTATCATTTCCCACCCCCACCCCCCCCCACCTTATTACATAATCCGCTCTACATCCCATGTGTAGTTTCACATTCAAATTTCACTTGATTGATGTCATTTGACTATTTCCTCAGTGGGTGGGTGTCCAATTCATCTTCGTGTTCCTTTCCATATTTGCTAAGTAAAATAGATTCTTACATGATTTCATCATGAGCTGACATTAGTTAGAGAACCATTGGAAAACCTGGGAGCACTGGGCAACCAGCTGTTTCGTAGTAGTTTGGGATTCTGCTTCAGTAGTACGCACTCATCACAGGGGATTTGAACCCAGGACCTTCTGGTTACAAGGTGAGCTAGCTCGTGGACCATTAAGCCACTGGGACCCGATCCAATGACCAGCCCATGAATTCTAACTTCTGCCAATTCACGACATTAGCGTGATCGCTAGCCAATGTCTTCGGCGAGTATTTGTTCTCACACCCGCTACCTGCTGCATCCCACTGGTCACGACTTCTCACTATAACCGCAGGTGACTACCTACCTGAATAGGGCCAGTGACCAGTGAGCATCTCATTGATATTCAAGTATTGGTTTGTAAGGATTCGATTGATTGCTTCCAATTCGATTGGCCTCCAAAGCCTCAGGATGGTCGGGGGTGGGTGCCTTGCGCTGCGGGTTGGCCACCCCTCCGCACACCTCTTGAAATGCTCCCATATGACCGGGCGTCTTACATAGCCTCTCCTGAGGAAGTCCTACTCACTGCCTTCACGTGGCGGAGGTGTTTCTCACCAAAGTGAGAGGGCGAAAGCGGATGCCCGGCGCTCTCCACCGGGTTGACTGTCCATTGGATGACAGTCTAGGGGAGATGGCTAAACCCTGATTCCAAACCTCCAACGACTGGCGTATGAAGCTCACCGGCAGACGTATGGACAAAGGGCTTGTTGGATGTCCTGGATGTCTGGCCCCATTCAAAAAGGCGTATGAACCGAACTCCGGTCACCGGCTTCCAATGGATAGTGGACTCCTTACTCCACTCCTACTGCCTTGTAGGTCACACTTGGTTGTGTAAAGGCTAGAGCTGCACTCTCAAACAAATGGCCGAGCGATTCTGGGGACATCACTCGTACCAAATTCCCATGAAACTTCATGAACTCTCTTACAAATTGCCGCACCTGGGCAGCGATGATTCGAGACGTTCATGAAGCCGGCTCATCCTCCCGTAGGAGATAGCCGAAGTAAATCAAATCAATTACAGGGTTTCATGATGAGCTGAACCCTACCGATGGGTGCATATTGTGAAGAGTCCCAAACTAGGACGAAACAGCTGTCCAGTACTCCGTTGATGGTTTTCCAATGGTTCTGTAACTAATGTCAGCTCATGATGAAATCCTGTAACCAATCAAATCCCTAGAAACCAACATTTGAAGAATAGGTTCTTAGTTAGTTTGCTCCACTTCAGAGTTTCTTGTTGCTAATTCTTTCAGGTTGGCTAGTCATCTCATCTTCAGTACACCGATAGTGAAGAAAGCTATTGATAGAATTCGTCAGTAGTCCGTTGGAAATGCTTTTTGTGACACACACACACACACACACGCCAAGTTTCTTTGTGCTGAGTGTAGAAGACTTCCAAACGCATTTCAGAGTGACGAAGGTCTGTCTTTTCTTTCCAGTTCCGGTCTTAAAATCCTCATCCTTTCTGTCTACCTGTAGTTGAAATTATGCCTCCTAGGTAGGTTCCGAGTGGAATATAGTTCTTCAATATCACATCTTCACTTTCTTCTATTTTCTACCATCCTCTTCAGCTGGCTAGCTCCACGATCGCCCAAACTCTGTCATCTCTTCCGCCAACTCATAGAATCTCATCTATGCCACCCTCGCCCCCCCCCACCGGACCACCCACTCGTCGCTTCTCATTTGGATTCCGCTCAAGTGATAGCCTGCATTGCGCGCGATTTTATTCAATGGTTCCCTGAATGTATACCCCACCGATCTCTGTTTTCTCCCATAACATATTTGTTGAGCGATCAGCTCTTGGTCGGTTCGTCACCTCCATAGTCTCCTGTTTCTTATTCTTTCTGATTGGTTATCTTCATCACTTCCGTCTTCTCTATGTTCCATTGAACTTTTGGCTTTGCTATTTTCCTCTTCTGCCAGTCTACTGGTTTACGCCTGTAAGTCTTCCAGTTTGCGTCAATAAAGAATGTTCATTTGCCGAAAAAGTTTATGAGTATTAGTACAGTATGTGTTTTTCATTCAACGATTTCCTAGGAGAATATAGGACTTCAGGTTTGGAACTTTGGGATTTGATTAGAGATTGTGTTGTTTCTACGAGTGTTGGTACAGAGTGAATTTGTATCAGTCAAGTTTGCAATTGTCAAAATCCACATGACTTCCTTCATGGCTGCCAATACGCCTTACTGACTAATCAGTGCCAAATAACACAAAACCTAAGTTAGGCGGGGGGGGCTTCCTGCCGACTGCCTCCAACCACCTGATGCACTGATGTCTTAAAAACAAGCACCTTAAATCGCTCAGCCAATTCACTGTGAAGATGTGGCTCATTGGCCTAAGCAGCCGGTTTTCAGCTGATGGGTCATGGGTTCGAGCCAGCTAAACTTTATTCATTCTGGCCAACTGGATAGAATTATCAGCCTTCACATGATGAGTGTGGCTAATAGTCTGGTACACAAAAAAAAAGCTATTCCAAGAAGCTGAGTTCAAACAGAGACAGGTTGAGTTTAAATCAACCTAATTAGTCAGATATTAAGGTTGATTAATGATGGATAGCGTCAAGTAGAATGCTTACCGGCCATGCAGATGATTCGGGGTTCGATTCCCGGCCACCGACGCACTCCTTTACCTCGCTAAGCCAGTAATAGTTCTGGTAAAGAGGAAAGGTTGAACTTGAGGCTAGCAGCTCCATCCCGCAAAAATGAACACCACTACTACAGAACCTTCAAGCCTCTAGCTTGAAGCCCTATGTTCCAGCACTGGGAACGTGAAGGAATTATAATAATAATGATGGATATAGATTAGACTAGGCATAGATTAGAGTTAAGGTTAGGTTTGCAATAGATTATAATTCCCTTGGATTCACAGTGGAACATGGGGCTTCAACAGCACCTCTCTACTTTGTGCTATTCCATGAGGTCCTCTTCGGGGATGCCACAATTTCACAAAGTCTATCCCCCTCTCCGTAAAACACATGGTCTCTTGCATGTCACCCTCTAACTCATGCCCAACTAGTATCTCGCTTGCCGATCGAGTTCCACTCGGACGATGGGCTGTCACGAAATGTCATTCGATAATCTCCTCAGAATGTTTCTCCATTTTCTTCATAAAATCTTTTAAGCAATCGGTTCTTGATTACATATTAGTTTGTTTATTAGATGTATCACACAGTGAGTGAAACAGTATTAGTATTTACTGGATGACAAAGTTTCGAACAAAATTTATTATTGTTCATAATCATGCCATCAATTGTAATCACACGACTTCAAAACTTGAGTTTCATAGTTTTCTTTGTCTTCTCCTATTTGTCGTCGTTTGGGTAGTAGAATTTTCCAGATATCTGGGTGGACAAGTGTTGAGTTATTCCTATTACATGTATTCTCAGGTAGTTGATTCGATAAACAAAGCTTCAAATATCCCAATCTCTCCCTCCATCCACCCTGTGACATTAGATTGTAAAACTGTCATCATATCCCATCCTATGGTATGGTTTTGTGTTGTGTGTAATTGCATGTGGTGTCATGCTATAGCTGAACTATTCTCTAGATTTCTTATCTTATTCAGGTCAACTAAGATAAGAAATCTAGAGAATAGTTCAGCTATAGCATGACACCACATGCAGTTACACACAACCATACAACAATACAACGGAATGGGATAGGATGATAGTTTCAAAATCTAATGTAACAACAGGGTGAATGAAGGGAGAGATTGATAATAATGGAAGCTTTGTTTATCGAATCAACTACCTGAGAATACATGTAATAGGAATGATTCCACACCTCTCCACGCAGATATCTGGAACATTCTACTACCCCAACGACGACAAATAGTAGAGGACCAAGAAAAATATACAACTCAAGTTTCAAAGTCGTGTGATTATAACTGATGGAATGATTATGAATAATAAATAAATTTTGTTCGAAATGTCATTCACTAAATACTAATACTGTTTCACTCACTGTGTGATTTATCTAATAAACAAACTAATATGGAATTACTTAGAACCAAAGTGCCAAAGTTTTACAAATATATTAATACGTTTCTTGGATAGTTCATCCCTAGAGTTTCGTGTTACCAATTCGTTCTGACAGGCCATTTGAACTTCATTAATATGCATTATGATTTCATGTCCTATTTAATATATATTCTTTCTCATTGCTTTTCCTTCAAATTACATCAAGAGCTACAATCGTCATCCGAGACAACTTCCTACCTACCCACCTAACTACCTACCAACCTACCTCATGAAGATTATTCATCAAGATACTTTTGCATGCATCATTCATCAGTCTGTTAGCCAACCAACTGACGAATTTTCAATTCCCCCCCCATTCATATCTAAATGCTCAAAATGTATTTATATGGTGAGAAAAGAACCAAGCAGGAGACGGCAGGCGAAGAGGCCGATGAAAAGCACCACTCAATAATAATGATGATGATAATAATAATAATAATAATAATCTAATTCACCAAGTGAACATTCCTATTATTATTGTTATTTAATATCAAAGAGTCACTTCTTCGTGTGAGTGAGTCAGCGATAACCTTGTATAATTGTACAGATAGATGAATATCTCTACTTCTACCAGAAGTATTACTATATTATTGACTGATGAACACTACTCCTTTTCTCTGTCATTATTATAGATTATGCAATCATTCAATAAACAATTTAATAACTTAACATTCTCCATTCATCCTATTTTAACCATGTTACACCTTACGTTTACAATTATTTTGACATCTTTCCTAATACACCCTGTGTTTCTACTTCCCATTTCATCAATGTAGAAATAACTATACGCTAGCGAAGCAACTTTCTCATTAGTCGTAGTTGTAACACCTCTGTAGCAAGGACAGATTTGATGCCCTATCTTTAGTCTCACTGATGTTCTTATGAAATAAATAGCCTGCATGCCTTTTTTGTTAGTGAACATCGTAAACAAGACAAAATTCAGTAGAAAGCTTCCAAAATGATAGAATCCGGCGAGGGAGGGGGAAGATTTAGCCAGTTGTCTCGAGTGAATCCTCATTCTGTACTTGATTTTGCTCCTCAGTTGGTCAGACGAAATGGCTTTCACGCATTCTTTCCAAGATAAACAACACCTTTTCGCCTCCCCCGCTTATCTGGTCCACTTCTTTATTTATATTCCTCCTCTACTATTCTCTGACTCCCTTATTCAATTCTAAATAGGTGATAAGATATTGGTGGTGAATGAGTCTAGAGTCTTTGAAGATAACCTACTACTATTATTATTAGTAGTAGTAGTAGTATTAAGTAGATGAAAAAAACCACACACACACACGGTCATTTAGCCGACTCAATTTAGCATTGATTGTTGTAATATCATGTACACTGTGAGATACGTATTATCTATTTATCTACCTATCTACCTAGCTATTTAGAGATTAGATTAGTTGCTGTTAATCAAAAACTACGATTATCACTGTTATTATTATCATTATTCTTATTTACTACTTATATTCTTATCAGTAGTTAAAGTAGTACGTCTTAATTTTTCCCTTGAGTTGATTATTTCACTGCTCAGTAGTATATTCTTCTTTGTGTGTTTTTTCTTTTGGCAAATTCCACCCCACCCCCAACAAAATCAAGATATTTTTTTCTACTGGAAAACACGTTGGATCTCTTCACAAAAACTTTTCAACAATTTCCCCATCCATCCACCCACCCACCCACCTCTCTCACTTTCATTATTTCATTGGTCTCCTCTCCTTCTGTTTGTCTCTCGGCCTTATCAAAACATACTTCGATATGCCCAATGAACTCCTCTGATTATTATTTTGTATTTAATAACTCCTACTCTAAATAATGAGTAACTTTAATTGTAGCATTTAACCTAGAGAGATTGACTTTGTTTCCCGCTCACCAACCAACCACCTAGCCGTCCTTGCTCTAGTCTTTTCTCTTCTGTTCTGTCTGGCAAATCATCACCATTGTGTTAGAAACAATCAGGAATCATCAAACAGTTCCGTCTGTCATTGCAAGCACACACACACTGTAAACATTACGTCATCACTATACACACATATTACTCTTTCAATGAATTTTGTCGATGATTATTCTTCGCCCGTTTTTATTGTTTTCCGATTCCTTCATTCACTGAGTGAGTGATTTAATCACTCAACCACCCACCCACTCACCGACTGACTGACTGACTCCCTCACTCGCTCATTGTACAATCTGAGTAACCAGTTACTTACTTACTCAATTACTTACTTACTCAATTACTTACTTACGTACTTACTAGTCTTCTGTCCTTTGATCCTTCTCCTCAACCCAAAGAAGTGTGACGTAACCAGATGTGGAGAGGACAGTACCAGTAGATACTGCTACTACTACTACTACTAATAATAATAATAACAATAATGATAATTGTAACAAATTCAGATGATAATGAATACTATTCATACTATTGATATACTCCTTTTTTGTTTCCGGGACTAGTTTCATAGATTTCAATTGATTATCATATTAAAGAACACACGCATTATATATGCATATATACAAATATATATATTTTTTAAACTATAAAACGAAATAGTTTTCATATATTTCTATTTGAAATCACAGAATATACACATTCAATCATGGGGTTTATAATAAAAAATACGGTTAGAGCGAAGAAAATTCTCTTTTCAACGAAGTCAATATCAACTAGGCTGTAGTACATTCATGTGTATTCATGATAAATGGATGGGAAAGTTCCAAAACAATTCCCGGTCAAGGATCAAATTAATAAAATTGCAATTGAATAGAAGATTTCATCATCAGCTGACATCAATTAGAGAACCACTGGAAAACAAGTTGGGAGTACTGGACAGCTAGCTGTTTTATCCAGTGGGAAGCTGTGACCAGTAGGATTCAGCAGGTTGAAGATGAGGCAATAACACATCGAAGAAGACATTGCGACTTGTGGTCGCGCTATACCATGATATGGCAGAAGTTAGAATTGATGAGGCCACTGGATCGGCTCCCGGCGGCCTAGTCGTCTGTCTACGAGCTCACTAGCCTTGTAACCAGAAGGTTCTGGGTTCGAACCCCCCTGTGATAGGTGTGTAATGCTGAAGCAGAGTCCCAAACTAGGACGAAACAGCTGACTGTCCAGTACTCCTCGTGGCTGGTTTTCCAATGGTTCTCTAACTGATGTCAGCTCATGATGAAATCCTTCATCCAATCAATCAAAATCCCTTAAAAAACCAATACTTGAAAATTACAATTAGGAATTAGAATGCCATAATAAACAGGGGAGGGGGACGGATAGAACTCAAATAAAGTAGCACCATAATTACTGAGAAGATTGACATTGATTGTGCAATTAGCGATTAGAAATGGGGAAATAACAAAAATAGACAGAATGTTTGGCTAAAAAATCTACTGGGATCATAACTAATGGGACGAATAATTGTTTATGCAATTAGGGAAGTTCGGGTATGAAAATATGGTAGTGTAAGTAGGGATTAAGAAAAGCTTAAAAGTCACATGAATAAACTGGAAGTTTGGATAAGAAAGTCAATGGGATAGTCACTATTAGAAGAATTGCCTGTTTATGATGGCCATGGCATAAACAAGGGTTAGACGCATTTCTTTTGGATACATTGTGTGGTTTTGAGCTTTTGGATGGCTAGTGCCTCAGCTATGCCCAGATGTCTTAATTTTACCTTCTTCGATAGGTTCGATCGAATCTTGTATATTATTTTGATGGATTTTTCGAAAGGCGCTGAATGTCCTGAATTGCCCAGATGTTCTATCCTTTTACTAGCCAGGCTGAATAGTGTTCACCAGCGCTTTTTTCAAGTTGGCACATGATACGGCCGATGTACTCAGCTCCACAAGAGCAAGTAAACTGGTATATGCACTTTAAGGTGGCCCAACGCGACAGCTTGTCTTTCGCATTCTGGCTGAGCAGTTTCTTGCAGGAAAACGTCAGTCGTAGGCTCGCGGCAAAGTATGTCTTTATCAGAGATTTGGAGAGGCGTTTACGAAGTATTTCTGCCTCAGTGTCACCTTTGAATTCTAGATTAAGCAGAAGTGTCTTCTTCAGGACGAATTGAACTTTCTCAGAAGCCTTCTTTGATCTGGGATTCTTGTCTGTGAAACTTAGCGGAAAACCGTTTTCCATCAGGGTCCCTCGGAGATTACGCAGTTCTTCGTCAATCACTTCCTCGCTACATATCTTCCGAATCCTCGAGGAGAGAGCGCATATTAGGTTCTTCTTTCTGCTTAGGCGCACGAAGCTTTGAAAGTTGATGAATTGTCCATTCCATGTAGGCTTTTTGTACATGGAATTTTTCAGAGAGTTGTCGGCGTTTCTTGTCAGATGGACATTGAAGAAGTGTAACATTCCGTCAGATTCAGCTTCAAGAGTAAAGACGATGTTTTGGTGGGCATTGTTGATGGTTTGAAGTAAATTTTCAAGATCCAGGTTCTCATCACAAATGATGCAAGTATCATCAATGTATCTCTTGTAAAGATGGAGGTCAGGGATAGTCGATGACAAGAAGCTTTTTCCAAGGCTGACCATAAAACAGTCGGCCAAGAAGCGCCCCAGTGGCGAGCCCATTGCTAAGCCATCTGTTTACCTGCAGATTTCATCGTTGAATCTGAAGGAGACGTTGAAGGTACAACGTAGAAACAACTCCTCAAATATATATATATATATATATATATATATATATATATATATATATATATGCACGAACGCACACACACACACATAACCCCAAGTTATGAGGCAACCTGGCTGGCAATTCTGAAACTGGCATAAAAATCGAATAGTGGCGTCATCACTTCTAACTTCGAAATGAAAACATGTCCAACGAAGAGCTTCACTTTTCAGAGATATCATTCTGAAGCTGTACAATTTACTACATACATAGTGTGACAACAGAAGACAAGGGCCAGGAAACAGATCGTTTATTAGGGAAATCAACACATATTTATAAATTTTCATGTACATCATGATAGATTATTGTTAGCAGACAAAAACACAGTCTTCTGATTGATTGTTACTCACAGAAAGTTAACCTTGCATCTCTTTGTGACTGTTTCTTGAATGTCAAATCATCTATATGTTATTTGTATCCGCCTACGCAAAACCTTTGTTCTCATTTTTCTCACGACCAATATTGGGGACATAAACATTGACGTAAAATACTGTCCACCTACTTTGACCAACAGCCAGCTCTCACCACAATAGTAAATCGCCTTAGTAAATGATATGTATCCACATGATGTGTGTGTGTTTTTTTTGACAGTTCTGTTATATTTTGCTATGTGTATTTGGATCGATATTCCATTATAACTGACAATATGCTTTTGTCTGTCCACTAACTAAATAAACATGTATGACCTTGTTGTCACATGACATTACAACCAATCATGGTAGGACGTTATCTTATTGGTTCA